GCTTCCAGTTTGTGGGTCAATGTTTTGTTTTTGGTATTTGTTGGGATATTTGTGCTAAGATTTGGTCTGATCCATTCTCTGCAATTTGGAATAGGTCTATCGGTACCCTATCTACTCTGGATGCTTTATTCCTTCCAAGTGATTTCAAAACACTTTTTATTTCACTGAAGGCTCTTCCTCACAGGATTCTTCTTCAAAGGAATGTGTCATCTTGTAATCCCTTCTGAATAATTCCTTTGTACATTCTTTCCAAATTCTCTTTATTTCCTCCTGATCAGATAGTGTGTCTCCTTGTTTGTATTTTAGGATTCATATTCAAGCTTTGAACTTCCTGTTGATTTCTTGGGTCTTCCAGGAGAGGTCCCTCATTTTTCCTCTTTTGTTGTTTTCTTCTATTTCTTTACACTAGCCATTGTCATAGTTCTTCTTGTCTCTATGTCACAGTTGCTGAAAAGTTGCATTCAATGTTCTGACTTTATTTCTTTCACCTTTGTTTCTGTTTCTCACTTGTCCTTAGCATTTGTGAGTGTTCCTACAGTCATCCATCTAGGTTTTTTCTCTCTTTTTGTTACAGGAATTGTCATTTGACATTCTTCCTTAAGAAGGTTTCTGGTTTCATTCTGCAGTTCTTTTGGTTCACAGTCAGTTGAATTCAGTAATGCAAATCTGTTCTTTCCATGGACTTCAAATTCCTCAGGAAAGTTACTGAAGTTGTATTTTGTCCCAATGCTTCTGTTAATGGTCTTTCTCACTTTTACTCTGATTTTTGACATTACCAGTTTATGGTCACAACCACTAGCTGATCTTGGTCTTGTTTTGGTAACAAGAATATAGCTGCTTCTTCGCTTATTGTCTATTTGATTTCTATATTGGCCACCTAGTGATGTTCATGTATACAGGCATCTGATTGGTTGCCTGAGGTATGTATTTGCAGTGAACAGAATGTTGGCTTCACTGAATTCTATGAGTTGTTCTCTTGCTTTGTTTCTGATCTCTAGGCCAACTTCTCCCACAACAATGGATTCTGCTTTGTTTCCTACTTCGGTATTCCAGTTACCTATGATAATAAAGATGTCTTGTTTTGTTGTGTTAACAATTTCCTCTTGTATGCCTGCATAAAAGTTTTCCATTTCTTCTTCTGTATCTGTTGTTGGAGAGTAGATTTGAATGACGGTTATATTGATAATTTTTCCAAGATCTGGTCAGACTTTGCACAATAGTAAGGTCTGCTCCTGCTTGTGCTACATTTTGCTCCAGTGTTAGAATCATTCTGTTTCTTCTGCGTTTGGCATTTCCAGAGTAAAAAACACTTTGTGCTTGTCTGACTGAAAATCCAGTTTAGTTTGTTCACACAAAGTACTGTGATGTATAACCATTCCATTTCTTGCTTTACAGTCTGCCATCTGCCTTGATTCATACTTCTCATGTTGGATGTTCCTATTGTATGAGATAAGCAGTACCAGACTTTTCGTTTGCCTCTGTGCATATCAGCCACTAGATTTTTGGTTTTGACCTAATTGTGTCATTAGTGATAACACCATTCATACTTGACCATTGCTCTGCCACAGTAGGGAGTTGGTTGCCTTCTGACACGGGAATCTTATTTTCTGGCACTACCCCTTACTTAACTTTGGATTGTTTCAACTTTGGGTTTTCAAGGCAAGATAGAGTCAGAAGTGGTTTACCATTGCCTTCTTCTGCACAGTACTAACCAGAGTTAGTTTGACAGTCACTGTTGTTGTCTGTGAAAGATCCTCTACCAGTGTTGCCTTCAACTACTGCTGCTGTGCAGTAGCTGACCCTCAGGAGTTTCTCTGCCCCATCACCATTAGAAATAGCTCTTCTCTTCTAATGATGTGACTTTTACTCCTTCAGAGGATTGATGCATCTTAGTCTGGTGTCTCAGCTTTGACTACTCCACCTGAGATGACCCTGCTGGGAGGCCAAACTGATGAAAGAATCTGGTCTCCTGATGGCATTACTTTAGGCTTCTCTAAGACTCTCAAACCCCCTCACCACATTAAGGCATGCATCCAGAGGGGAATCTCTGGAACAGCTAATGGTATTTTTTTATCCCAGTAGGATTACTGCCATGTCTTTGCCAGCACATTTTAATGTGAAACAAGAAGCACAAGAGAAATGTTTCCAGAATTAGTATAAATAGTAAGAACTATTATGAAGATGTGCGTGTGAAACTGTTCAAAAACCGCATCAAGGGAGGCAATGTTTAAATCACTTTTAAACTTTCCAGTGGAGCTTTATTCTCTAAGCCCCTTTAGGATAACTACACACCAACAGCTCCCACATGGTGACTACTTTTAAATTGTACTGCATAGCAGCAGCTAGCCTATAAGTGATGATCACTGCTGGATCACTGCTGGAGACACTCCTGCTTTGGGAAGCAACCTGTTGAAGTTCACTTGCAACACTGCTTCTTTTTGGCAAGACAATGGAACTATTTCATGTAGAGATTGTAAGACAAGTAACTTAGGGGAAGGTGGCCCTATCAAAGTAACAATTCTGCAGATGTGTGGAAAATCCTAAAGACAGGTGCGTGAGGATGTCTTTGGATCAACAACACCAGCTTATCAAGACCAAGTAGTGCTAAGAGAAAGAAAAGTCTGACACTACCTTTCCAAAGAGATGGCTCATTGAGAAAGGTGTAAGATGACAAAATCTTTAAATTTACCTCCCCAAACATTCATATTGAAGCAAGATATGTGACAAGAAGCTTGCAGCAACTTAGGGAAAAGAATGGCACCATTTCAGTATTTCCTCTGAAACATGCTATAATAGCTTGTGAATGTCAGAAAAAGTCAAGTAAGGGGAGACATGATAGAGGTGTTGAAAATTATGTATGGTGTAGAGAAAGTAAAGAGAGACAGAGCGGAATCCCAGTGTAGGGTCACCCCATGAAGATGGCTGGCAGGAGGTTTAGGCCACTTTTTATGCATACTTAAACTATGGGTTTCATTGCCACAGGAAGCAGTGATGATCACCAATTTGGATTGCTTCAAAAGGAGTTTGAACAAATTCATGGAGGAGAAGGCTGTCAATGCCTACTAATCCTGATGGCTATGTGCTACCTTGGGTATCTGAGGCAGTATGCCTGCATGCACCAATTGCTGGGGAGCTTGGGCAAGGAGGAGTTGTTGTACTGATATCTTGCTGGAGGGATCCACTGAGAACAGAACACTGACTCAGATGGATCGTCGGTCTGACTGATTGTGGCCTTTCTCATGTTCTTATTATATACTACCTTACCTGCAGAAAGAGCAGATTAGCTTATGTGAGGCTGCTGGCAGTCCCTAATCAATGTTTGAATGTAGCCCACGTTTCCGTAACACCATTCTTTTACAAATTTAGGTGATTCTAGAGCATTCAAGTGGGAGTGCAGGTGGTGCAGTGGTTTATACCGCTGTGCTGCTGGGCTGGTTGATCGAAAGGTCACCTGTTCAAATCTGCACAATGGGGTGAGTTCCCATTGCTCTGTCCCTGCTCCTGCCAACCTTGCAGTTTGAAAGCATGCAAATGCAAGTAGATGAAAAGGTACCACTTCGGTGGGCAGGTAACAGCATTCTCTGCACTTCATTGTTTAGTCATGCCAGCCACATGACCACAGAGACTGTGGACAAACGCTGGCTCCCTCGGCTAGGAAACGGAGATGAGCACCGCCCCCTGGAGCCAGGCATGACTGGACTTAATGTCAAGGGGAAACCTTTACCTTTACCCAGAGCATTCAAATAGCTTAACTCTGCCACTGAACAGTGATGTATACTCACAGTCATTAAAACCATGGATCACCCACTCATAACACAAAAACACCTACGCAGCAAGTGGAGTGTTTACAAATACAGTATCTCAATTTTTAATATTCTTATAATTATCTGTAAATTTTGTATCAAATGAAGGATTGTTCAGGTGATTGTAAGGTATACCTCATGAGTCTAAACAATTACAATTGTCGTAATGAACAGAGTATTGTAAATAAAGAAAACCCGAAAGTAAAGTTGCTCAGGAAAATTATGGCAGAATTTCCAAGGGATATGTTCAATGTCTCCATGGAAACAAGTTTTCCCCCTCATAAGGTTATCTCTATTGATCTGCGTACATAGACAGAGAAGAGTAAGACAGAAGGGTTATATCCAAGGAATGCATACTTCAATACTTTCCTCTGGCAAGACTGTCCAGACCTAAATTAATCTCTCTCATCAAATCTCTCCAAATATCTCTGCAGAATAATTATCATGTTCAGAATGCAATGTATAATGGGTTCTATTAACCAGCTCCGGCTGCCATTTAAGGCTAAGATTTTTCAGTATAATGTCCTGCTTTCAGCTGCAAAATTATTTCGCTGAATTTTAATGTTAAAAATCGAACACTTCTGTTGTGAAGGTTAAATTCAAATGATATTGTCCATTGTGTCAAGAAGCCAGTTTAGATTTTTCATAGAATAGGAACACCAGAAAATGTTGCTGTTGAAATAATCTTGAATATTACATACTATCCAGCTTTCCTAATAATGTGCTAATGTTGAGTCACTTTGGATGACTGTTTTTGAGTATATGAACTTTTTCTTTGTAAACATTCAAATTAAAATTCGAGTAAATAAGAGGTTTTGTTTTTTTTTAAGATTCCCTACCCACCAATTTTTACTTTTGAAATAAGAACATTTTCTGCAATAGCACTAACGGGATCATTTGCTAAAGTACTTGGCACCTGGGCAAATGGAGTTATCCCTGCCCTAATGGGAAATTTGGCATAATAGCAATAGCAGATACTCTATTTCTGTAACTGCTTCTCAGTGCAAGAAGACTGCCAGCTTTTCAGAACTGCTTGAGCTGTCCTCCCTAAAGCACAAGTCGCTTTTGTCTGAAAAAAATGTTTTTAGGAAAAGTGTTAAGATACATTTTCACAAAGGAAAACTACATTTTTGCTGGGAAAATGCAAAAAGTCAATTAAAACGTAGTTAAAGAAAATATCCTGGCTATTTTACTTACGTGAATAAGCACACAAAATCTGTGAGGCCAAAATGTGTTGAGAACAGAAAAAATGGAACCAAAAGCACTTCAAATGAAGGAAGATGCATCAAAATCCAAGCAAGTCTTTTGAAAATAGTAAGATGATGAGATTCCATAAAATAATTATCCATTCACAAGTGTTTCCCAAGAACTTTTAACAATTCTGGGAAACAACAACCTTGTCTCTTCACTTACAGAAAAACGCTTTCATGAAAAAGGGCATACTTGATGAGCCAATCAAGTTTTTATCCAAGCTTATGAGCCCTGAAATGGTCAGCAAATTAGGAAAACTTTATTTAACTCCTTAGTTCCTGGTCAAAATGACTAAGAGTTCATAGAAAGAAGAACAAACAGCAAAAAGCTAAAGACTTAAGAAAAGGAGGAGATTTTCCTAAGAATTTTCAGTCTACTGCACTAATATGCAAAGACATGGGACAATGTTAATTCTCAACTTGTAAGGTTGGAAGTATGCAGTCTTATCAAACAATTAAACTAAAGGTCTGCTTTCCAAAGACGTCAACCAGTGCAAGTCCAACATGTTTTTACTTTCCACTTCACAGAGGTACAATTCTTCAAAATATGGGCTAAACTGAAAATAAATCCAGATCAAGCCGTTTTCAAATATAAATTAATTTTTTATGCTCAATGTTCCTTCAATGGAAAAGATGGTTTAACCTAATCATCCTTTGCATTTTCTCATATAAAGCAACTATCTTGAATAGATTTTTCCTCAAAAAGCATTTTATTTTTTTAATCCAATTTTTAAAAATCATTTAACCAAAACATCTGATTTAAGGAAAAAATCCATTTAAAAATCACTGATTTTTATCCATCCTGGCAAGAAATGAAATTAATTGTATAGCATATAGGCAATATCCTGGACAGAGCTTTAATATAACTTCGGCCATTTATCTAGCACAGAAATCAGTCAAAAGGGAAAGAGAAAAAGATTATCTTGCATGTGGAAGGATGAAATAGAGATATTTTATTTTTTTACTCTTCAACAAAAGCAGCTCTCCTCATAGAACTGAAAATGAGAAAATACAAGACAATGGCCATGTTTGCATGTCACAACAAGGAATTGTGGGCAATAAACCATAGTGCACCAGTTGTCAAGTGAAGTGAGCCCAACAGACATCAGGCTCTTCGTGAGTTGCTGGCCTCCATATATACCTTCTTGGTCCTCCTGTGAGTACTCTAGGGGAAATTTGTGAGAGAAACACATTGTTCCCTCTTCCCTCACCATCATGAATCATCTCAGTCTCAGAGAACAAATTACTGTATTTGTTGTGTGCGTGCCTGCATGTTACGCACTGCTTAACGATCTGTGTTATAAATGCATTTATGTTATTTTAGATTTCAGCATACTCTGTCAGGAAAGTCTGTGCAGAGAACAGGGAGTGGATAATGTGACATAGCAGAGCTAGTCCAAATATGTATCAGGGAGAAGACTGTTAAAGTGGTGGAGGGCTGAATAATGGCCAGTTTATAAACCACATTTATTGTCAGAGAGTAGGCACAGTCCTGTTTCCTCTCCTGCAATTGCAAAAGCAAATGGGATGAGGGTAAGCCATATAAAATACTTTAATCTTCTAGAATGGGGGAAACAGTCAAAATTGTGAAAGAACAGAAGCAAGCTGATAGTCTTTGGCCAACAAAGTTGACTTCTGTCTGCTACTGTCAATTTTCTGCTGCATATTATTTTCAGACAGGAAACATAATCAGCCAGATTTATAACTTGCATTTCTAGCATTTAAAAAGAAGAAATCTAGGGTTTGTACAAGCCATTGACCACAGTATCCCCACATTCTCCAGAAATCATGAACTATGGCACCAGAAAGGATGGGAAATTGAACTCTCTAGAAGGTAACAGAAAGATTAAAGATGGAAAAATATGCAGCAAGCAAATGAACTTGTGATCAGTTGTCCAGATTATACAACAATCCATCATGGGTAGAACAACAACAAGCCATGGATTATCAAGGTGGCATATTGCCAACAAACAAGCCAGCCTGTGGGAAACAGTCCAGGTTTGCACGACAAACCACTGTGGCTTGTCACCCTCAATGGGTTGTCATATTATGTGGAACAAGTTGCTGAGTTTAGTTTCTTGGCTCTCATTTGGCCTATTACTGAATCAAGATACATATTCATTGCCTTGTCTACATTTGAAGAGAAAGAGAAGTAAAGCCAGATGCCATTTGCATCCAGTCACCCCAAATCTACAAATGACTACGTTCAGTGGTTTCATGGCAATATTAAACAGCATGGTGAACAGAACAAAACATAGCCTTGTGAAGTATCGAACATGTAATGGGGCAGAACAATAGCCTCCCAGCACCGCCTTTTGAGATAAGGACAAAAATGCTGGATTCTAGTGCCTCCAATTCTGAAGCCCATAGCTGTTCTGAAAACAGCTTCTGTGGTTCTGTGGTCAAAATCCAAGCAAATTGTCAGTATCACACTCTCCTTTTTTCTCCCAGTACAGGTAATTCATCTGGACAATTAGAAAGGTTTCACTTTTGAACCCAGTTCTAAAACTGCATCGATCCAAATAATGTCATCAGATACTGCCTACAGTATCACAGCGAATAATCCACTCAAGCACTTTGCCACCTGAGAAGTCATCCCTGCAATCCTTACAGTCAAAGGGTGATTTCTTTAGGGGAGCAGCTATAATTCAGTTGTAACACAGGAGGTACACTGCCATTACTTGATTCATGGGGAATAAACACAATTCAGAATAGAATAGATGATGTTTTAAAACCTCGCTAAGCCAAACGCCACATGATGCTGCCAGTGGCAATTGTTGCTGGCATCTTGATGGCACTGCTGTCTTATGTCTGCTTGTGATGCCGCTTCCATGTCACAGAATCAGCAGAAGCCATCTACGTGGAACAGGAAGCTGAAGCCTGCATCATTGCCAACAAGATCTACTGTACATAAAAGTTTGTTTTAAGTTTTAGACACAGAATATGAAGGGAGATTATCATGTTGCATCAGGGGAAACAATTATCCCATCTAAAGCTGATGAAACTGCTGATTGAGAAACTACGACATTTCCTGGAAAACTACTCACTCATAAAATTACTCAGAACTGTTCAGAAATATAACATTCAACTTCTGGGCTATGTGTTAAAATAAAGATGCCGATAGAAGAGTCTTGTAACTGGAAATATATAGACAGACAGACAGACAGACAGACGAAGATTATATGGTCAGTAAAGGATATATATGCTTCCTTCTTATGAGCACACTAATCAAACATTGTCAAGCTGTTTGCTATCTGCTTTTCTTTGGATCAATTGATTTTTTTCACTTGAATAGACCTTCACATGCATAGATCTAACATGTTACCTAAAAGCCATTCATATATTGCAAACGTGGATATAAACTGGCCTCAAATTATAAGAAATCGTTACTTCACTTACTGCAAAGTGAATCTCTCTGAATACAGACAAAGGCAATAAAGCTAGAAAGTGTCAGCGCCAGATTTATTATTTTTTTTCCAGGAGGGAGGAGATAGCCTTGGCAGGAGGGATACCCTCCCTCACTCTGTTGAACAGAACACACACAACTATGCAGAGCAAGAGAACAAGCTGAGGTTCCCACTCCTTTCTTTTGCTCTTGCCACTGCTTACCCACTTGGAAGGAACTAGTGGGTGACTATGGGCAGCAACGGGGCCCCCTGCTTCTATGTGGGCCTCAGCAGGGACCCAACAATGCTGAGACAGGCACACACACACAGAGGGAGGGAGGGAGCTGGGCAGCGTGATAGCAGAGACTGAAGCAAGTTTAAACCTGTAATTGCTCCACTCACCCACACACTACTATGCTAACAGGGAAACACAGCAAGCCAGTGATCCAGAAAGGGATTGATGTTTGCCATATCATGCTAACTTGCTATTGCTATTGCTGAGTTAGCATGATATTGCACAATTCTGATCTATATGAAATCTGCCATATGTGAAATATATGCCATATATCTTACTTCTTTCAAACCAATTATTCTAAAATTACAACATTCGGCAGGATACTTTTGTTTAACAAATGAATCCACATGTTTGCTTCTGTTGCTAAATACTTCAAGGCTGTAATAATTATATAAAATAATTGAAACAGTTCTTACAGCAATGACTGCTTTCTTTAGAGAACAAAATGGGGCAAGTTTTGGGCTATGATTACTTCTGGTTTCTAGTGTTCAAGCCTATATAAGGATAGCCTCATATATATTTAGTAGTTATAAGGTATATTTCCATATTCATAGGGCACATTAACATAGTTGCAAAAGTTCCTGGACACTGCCCCCTTGTTATCCCCCGCACCAGCACCATTTTACTTCAGTTGGTAGATAATAAACACAACTAGTTTAGTTGAAAGAAAGAGGGTAAACTGACAAGCTGATCAGTTTGAGCAGCATCTGGAAACAGCATCAACTATCTATAGTTATCAATTCCACCTTTTATCAGTTTGACTGGCCTTGCTTGCTTTGCCTCAGTATTGCTGACTTTATGGTCTTCCTCCCCAAGGAATGGAGCTCAAGGAGTTACCAATCAGCTTTCCCAGAACTGGTACCCTTCAAATGGTCTGGACTACAATTCCCAGCATTTCTGGCTATTGGCCATGTTGGCTGGGACTTATCAGCATTTGAAGTACATCAGGTTGGGGAAGGTTATTTAGTAAGCCCATGAACTCCATTTAAGTCAGCCAGACTGAAACAAAGTAAACACAGGCTGCATTCCTTCTCTCATATTATAGGCACATCATATTATTTAGTAAACATACATCCTCTGCCTCACCACCAAAAATGGTGCTTGAGGCAGCTAATCATGATAAAATAAAGGTAAGAACAGATTTTTTATGAAAAATTTAAAAAATATAATTTCAAAACACAATTAAAGACTAAGCAATAAAAAATAAAGAGAATACAGTCAGTTAAAATGATTGTTAGTAACCACTTGTCTTACATGCCACGCTGCCTGAATAAAAATGCAGTTTTTATGTACCTTGGTCCAAAGCCATATAGAGTTTTATAGGTCATAAACAACACAGTGAATTGTACCTAGAAACAGACTGGTAGTCAAGGAAGCAGTTCTAACAAGTTAATCACATGTTCCATGTAACCAGTGCTGATCTACATTTTGCCTACAGCATTCAGAGCCAGCTGAAGCTTCTAAACACCTTCCAAAAGCAACCCTATATAGAGCACATTAACAGACATAATATAACTACAGCATGTGTCACCTTGTCAGACCCAGTTTCCCCAGCACTAGGTCCTGTTAGCATATCGCCCATAGTGGCACACAAACACTCCTGCCCAGCACAGAAACCTTAGCATCCAGGTTCAGGGCTGAATCCAGGAGTATGATGAAACCGTGAACTACCTTCAAGAAGAGTATGACCCCATGAAGTACAGGGTGCATCTCTATTCCCTGATCAACCTTCTGATGAAGCATCAGTACCTCTGTACTGTCTGCATAAAACTTTGTTCATCTTCAAGTTGCCCATTACCAACATCAGTCACTAATTTAGAAAGAACAGCATCCTTGGACTTAGATGGGTCAGCAGCATATGGGACCTGACAGCTGCAAACATCTCCCATCAGTTTCATGCATATGTTAAATAGCAAGCAGGCAAGATGAAATCCTGAGGGACAACATAGGCCATGAGTAGGCAACTTGTATCCCTCTTGATTTTTGGCCAACAACTCCCACCATATATCACCACTGGATATGTTTGCTAAGGCTGATGTGAACAGTAGGCCGAAACAACTGGAGAACC